CCCCTCCCTGGGACCATAGTGCCAGGGTTTGCTCTTCCATTTTTCCATCCTGTTCCCTATTCTTGATCCTCCCCCTTTCCAGGCTGCTCACAGTTAGGTGTCAGATCTTTTTTTTTTTTTTGTTCCTCCCCTCCTCATGGTTTCCTTGACCTGCAAATTCCCCAGAGACAGGTGGAAACATGAGGGAGGAGTGTGGAAGTGGGTCTCTGTTGTTGTCAAGGTGTCAGTGCTCTGCTCTCAAAATGCAGTGGCTGAGGAATGACACATGTTCAACCACAGCATTGTCCCCACCTCTCATCCTCCATCCTACCTTCCCTTCCAGGTCTTTCTCCACGAGGCCACCGTGCGCCTGATGGCAGGTGCCAGCCCTACCCGCACCCACCAGCTGCTGGAGCACAGCCTGAGGCGACGCACGCCCCAGAGCAGCAAGCAAGGTCAGCCCTGGGACCTGGGCACCGACCCACTGCCTGTGGGGTGGGGAGGGGGCAGCACTTGGGCAAGGTGTGGGGGCATAGGTGCAAGCTGCAGTGTCTTCTGTGTCAGGATAACGAGCTCCCATCAGCCTGTGGCTCAGGGCGATGCTTCTGCCATGCTCTCTACAAGCCGACTAACGTGAGCTGCCGGCCCTGGGCTGGAGGTGTCAGTGAACAGACTGGAAAACATTTGCCTTCATGCAGCTATGCATACACAAAACTTGGCAGTCTGGGGTTTGGGGCAGGCAGTGCAAAGGCAGAAGCTGGGAATCCTAAAGGGAAGAGCCAAAAGATATGGTGCTGGTTATTAAATCCCTTGTGAGGGTGTAAGGGGAATGGGCAAATGTGTGTACCAACGCTGGGGTGAGCCCTAGGAAGTGAAGTGAAAGGAACTATCTGTAGAAGACATGACTGACAGCCCCTACCTGACTCCAGCTCAGACTATTCTATTCTGCTAGCCTAAAGGAGCTCCCTGGGGGTCCTCAGAGTGGCCCTCACTCTTGGCTCAGCCATGGGTTGCCAGCTAGAGATGCCTGTGCTCACTGGTACCAGTTGAGGGCCTGCATGGTGGGGTTTTGTCATGCGGGTGGTAGCTCTGTTGTGAACTTTCTCTCTCCTGTTTGCACACAGGTGAACTGGACACGTTGCCGGGCCAAAGGGAGAGAGCCACAGCCATCCTGTTGGCCTGCCGCCATCTTCCCCTCTCCTTCCTCTCCTCCCCGGGCCAGCGAGCCGTCCTGCTGGCTGAGGCCGCCCGCACCCTGGAGAAAGTGGGGGACAAGCGCTCCTGCAATGACTGCCAGCAGATGATTGTCAAGCTGAGCGGGGGCACGGCCATTGCTGCCTCCTAATGCTGTCTTGGGGCCGCCTTGTACAAAGACAGCTTGGTTGACCATCAGCCTGGACTTCCCTTCTGGAGCTTAAAAAAAGTGCTAGGTTAGGGCTGTGCTGGTGGGATTGTGATGGGGTGGGAGGGGGAGGGAGGGTTTTGGTTTTGTTTTATTTTTTTTCTAAACTTGCCCCAGGTTTAGCTTTATTAGCTTCCTTGCTTGTTCTCAGGCACTGCAGCAGGAATCTGTCTAGTTGTGGTTTTTGTCACCTTGCCTGGGGCTGTTGGGAAGCTCTGTCCTGACACTGATTTCCCATTCCTGCTTTGGGGAGAAGCTCACAAGCCCAAGGCATAGAGAAGTGGCACATCCTGTGTCTGTCCTCAGGGGTATTTTATTCTCTTCCCAAACACCTCTGCAGAAAGAAGTCTTTGGGGAGGGCAGAGGATCTGCTCAAGCCTTGTCCCACAGGGCTGCTGGGGCTTGAGGATGTTCCCAAAAGAGAGGGGAAGGCACCAACTTTCCTAGAGTTGTGTGTCAGGAAACTGAAGCCCCCTATACCCAACTTACCTAGGTGCTCTGGGAGTATCGCTTGGGGCCAGTACTGCCCAGCAAATTTCTCTACAGTTTTTATACAGGTTTTTTTATAGGAGTGTTCATGGCTTTACAAAAACATAGGGAACAATGCAGCAGATTTCCCTTCCTCTCTGCTTCATGCATCTTTTCCTGTGATAGCTGCCTCCAGTTTTTGGCAGGGGGTGGGTTTGTAGCAGCCTACAACAAGCAAAGCCTGGCAGAAAGCCTTGGCATCCCTGGTCATCTGATGCTGGGTGGCAGCAGAGGTGGATGGGCCGTGCCCTGCATTGGCGTGAAGGGTGAATGCTTCTCTGGTGCCTTTTTGTTGATGCAGAAACAATTTTTAGAAACAGTTTTTTATTTTACTCAACTCCCAGTCCCAGAATTTGTCTTCAGGTGTTTCTCCTTACCTTTTCCAACTGCTCAACAGCTCCTGCAGAATCTGGGAAGCACTGGTTCAGGGTGCAAGTCTCCCAGCTTTGTTACCATTGCTATTCTGAGCAGTTTGACTTGCAGGTGTTGAATTGCCTGTGACTTTCCAAGAGGGGGAGGTGGATTTGGGACAGGGAGAGAACGGTTTGCCCTCTTTCTCTCTGCCTTTCCTGTTGCATCTCTCCAAAGAAGAGCAAAGCGGTTGCCCTCTGACATGTGCAAATGTGAAAACCAGCCTTTGACAAGCAGGCATTGCTGTTTCTCCCTGTGTTATGGTCAGCGTGTTCTCCATGTTAGCAGCTAGAAACATTTAGATGCACCAGTCCAAACCCATCCTGTCCCAATCAGGCCTGTACTGCCTAACTCCTGCAAAATCAGAACTTGTACTGTTTTGTAAGAAGCTTTTTACATGTATCCAGCTTTTGCATAGAGGGGTGAGAGCTTGAGCTCCTTCAAAATGAGAGGAAAAAGATAGGGGCTTGTGGTCTCACTTTGCACAGGGTCTTTTGGCATCTGTGAGGAGCATTTCATGTGCTACAGGAATTGAGCACAGGTAATGCTAGTCCTGGAGTTGCCTGGCTTCACAAAGATGGAAACTGGGGCCAGGAGAAACCTGTCTCCCAGCAAAGCCTGTTCCCAGTGATCGTGATCTGTAGCTGCAGACAAAAGTGCAGGGACCAGAAGATGTTTCCCTCCCTCCCCCACTTTATGTGGGGAATAGCTGGTAGACACCCAGCTGCAATGGCTGGCAACCTGAGCTTCTTGTCCTGCTGGCAGGCAGGGGGGTTCCTTGCTTCCCAGGGTTGGTGGTTGGAGGGGAGCTCATTGTTTGAGGGGAAGAGGTTGCTCTCAAGAGTGTCTTTGAGTGTAGATGATGCTCTGGTGGCAGCAACTTCCTCTTCGAGCAGGTATCCTAGGTATGCATAAGAGCTCTTGGGTTTGTACACGTTTTGATTGCCCATTCCCAAGTTCCCCAGCTTATCAGTGATCCTATTCTGGGAGGTGGATTGCCTCCTCCTGATTTTCGTGCTCTTCAGTGGCTCTCACGCTGTCTTCCTGGTCATGTTTTTTTCCCTGAAATACAGAAACTCCTTGCCTGTGGCAACCTCTGAGTTACTTTGCATTTCTCTGGGTCTGCGTGCAACACGTGGGAAGTTTTGTGCTTTAGTAAAATGGGAAGCAAGGCCTTGGGAAAGCAGTGATGCTGAGGTGCCACTTAGTCACTAACGGTGGTCTGAGCCCTGGGGGCTGGGCTGCAGAAGTACTGGCTGGGGAACTGGCAGACTGCTGGGCTGAAACCCCAGTAGCAAATGGCACGATCCACGGAGGGTCCTAGCATGGCTCATACTTTTCTGCCCCCTCCAGGGTGATGGATCTTTGCCCTGTTTTTTCTACACTGTTTATAAATTTGCTGCCCATCTGTCCCTACGACTTTTTTTACATGTGTGTGTATATACTGTAACTTTTTTGTTTGTGGGTGGGAGAAAATTGTTTTATGGATTATGTGAAGAAAGTCTATTTATCCTCATGGGGTTCAGAGTAGGGATGCTTTGTGATACAAGATGCAACTGGTGGTGGGGAGGTTCCCCAGGGAACATATCTCCTGTCTGAAAATCCTGTTCCAGGGCTCCTGAGCATCTGTTACCTAATAAAGATGAACGTTACCACCACCTCCCACCTGCCCTCTTTCTCTTAGCCCTTTTCATCCCACCCAACAGCTGCTCTTAAGCAGAGGTGAGCTTGAAATGTCCTTCAGAGACATAAAACCTTGCAGGCACCTTGGGAAGCTGTCGGTCCTTTGTCTGGATAACCTGAAGAACAGAACCGTACAGTTTGCAACAAAAGATGATCCCTTGGTGGAGCAAGTGTGGTGTCTACATGCTCCTTTGGAAACAACTCAAGAGGCTGATGGCTCGAGCGAAGCCAAGCAAGGTAAAGCTATGCCAGAAACCTGCAATTTTAGGAGCATCTCTATGGGATGGAAGCTGTTAGCTGACCTTGGTTTAGAATAATGTCCTTTCATTCCCTCTCTTTGTTTCTCTGCTCCCCCTGGTAAAACTCTGTCAGAACCATTAAACTTCAGACAGAGGAGATCTCGTTTTTGTGTAGCAGCTCAAAGGGTTTTGTGGTTGGGCCTGGAAGCTGTGTTCCCACCGTGTCCCCCACTGGGGGGGTTCCCCAGGCCCTGTGGGAGTGGGCTTTGCACTCTGCTGCCCCTGGGGAAGGTGGTGGGGTTTTGGGAGCAGTGTGGAATTCCCCAGCCAAACCATACCAAGGCCATATGGTTTAATGTATTATTTATTGACAAGGTGGAGGCTGGGGCAGTGGGAAAGGGGAGGCTGGGGAGGGAAAGGGGCTGCTGGGCTTTACTGGCAGCACCGGGCTGGTGCTTTGAGTCCATTGCTCTTCCCCCCACCTGCTCACTGCAGCTAGGTTCGGGGTGCCTGGCCCAAGCAGGATGTGTTTCCAGTCTGTCCAGCATTGGCCCCTGTCCCTTGAGCAGGGTACTGCTCTGTCAGTGTGCTCCCAGCTCAGCCTCTTCATGGGGCTGGCTGAGAATGGCTGAAACTCGTTGCCTGGATGAGACCCCAATGCCTCCTCGATGGTGAAGTGCAGCCAGCAGTCGCCATCCCTGGAGGGGAGGAAGGACGGCGCATCTCCCCCTCTGGCCAGCGTCGCAGTTTATGCAGTTTACGTAGGTCCTACGATGCTTTGCTCTAGTGGGCTGCCCTCGGGGGCAGCAACACCCAGGTGAGGGGGCAGCCCCAGCCCCTGGCAGTGCTGGTCGTCAGACGGTGACCTCAGTCTTGCTGTTGGTGGCGAGGTGCCGGGGGTGCTGGCTGTACAGTGGGGTGGAGGAGCCGAAGGCCTCAGGTGGCCCCTCGGGGCGCAGGGTGGCCAGGCCCGGCCGGTGGGGGCCGCGATGGGGGGCCCCCTCCCAGCCCCCTGGGAAGACCAGGCTCCCTGGCAGCTTGGGGCCCTTGGCCTTGGGCAGGGGGCAGCCCTTGGGCAGCACTGGTGTCTCGGTGGGTGGGAAGGGCAGTGTGCTGGCAGGGGGTGTCTCCAGCCCCCCGAATCGCCTGTAGAAGTCCTCGGAGGCGCTCTCTGTGGGGACAGGGGTGGGGTGTCACCCCTGCAGGGACACCCACTTCTGCTGGTTTGGGGGGACCAGGGAGGGTGCACTGGTTGGGAAGGCTGGGATGGGGCTATATCCTGGGTACTGATTGGCTGGGGACTGGGGGGGGATCTCAGCAATGAACTTGCTGGGGAGTGCGGTGTGTCCGTGTGGATCCTGAGGTCTGATGGGGTGGGCAGTGCTTCAGGTCTATGTGGGATCCTGGGTGACTGGCTGGGAAGTGCACTGGATCCATGGGAGACCCTAGACACTGACTGACTGGGCAGCACAGCAGGCTGGTGGAACAGTGGAGGAGCCACAGAGTTTCTGCTATGAGCAGCCACCCCAGGAGCCCTGGGAAACTGGGAGGCTTGTCCTGTCCATGCTCCCCTGTGAGCCCCATGCCCCTCCCCACTCGTCTTGCTGGGTCCCCCTGCCACCATCCCACCCCACACGGCAGCAGCACTCACCTCCAACCTTGAGGGTGGTGTAGGAAGTGTAGTCTGAGGCTGACAGGGCCAGGCTGCTGGCCAGCGGCAGACGCTTGCCGTGGCTGTGGGGCCGCCCCAGTGAGGGAGCAATGGCCACCGCATTGTTCAAGGGTGGCTTGTCTGGAGGGGCAGAGGCAGGTGGGGGCTCAGCCACAGGCTGTACCCTCCTGCTGCCTTTATCCACCCAAGGGAACTTATTTTTCCCCACCACACTAGCACCTTACCTGTGCTGTTTCTGGGGGGCCCCCGGGCCAGCCCCTCGCCCAGTGGGACCTGCACACCCCCCACGAGGCTGTCCATGTTCTCAGAGGGGCTCTGGCCTGGCTGCTTCAGCAGATCTGTCAGTGTCCTGGGAAAGGGATGAAAGGGCTGTTAGAGCAATACGCTGTTCCCTGGGTCCCCTAATGCATCCCGGCCCTGAATCGTGCTCTTTGGAGGCAGAGCCGGGCAGCCTGGGGCTAGGAAATGGCTGCCGGGAGCCAGGATGCACCCAGGGTCCTAACCCAGCTTTTTCAGGTGGGCTAGTGAGCCCCACCTGAACAGTTAATTGGGATCAGACTGGGGCTGAGCCCTCCCAGAGCCAGGGTTGTCAGTGGGTGAGGGTGGTGAGGGAGATGCACGGCTTGGAGTGGGGTTCAAGGGTCTGATGCACTGAGACAGAGGAACCTGATCTGATGGCAGCTGGAGCAACACTTTGGGGATGCTCCTCTGGAGTGAGAGCCTGGTATACATGGGGAGAGGAAGCAACACCTCCACTCAAGTCCCTTTGAAACATAGAAGACCCTGAGGAAGGGATTAGAGAGGCCACTTGCACCCCTTCGGGGAAGGGGATGAACTAGCGGCAGCCTCTGGTGCGGGCACTGTCTGTGCATAACACCCTCCTTGTAAGTAACAGCATTAAACATTAAACACCATTACATAAGATAGAGCCCTATTTCGTTTAACATTCATGGACGGAGATGCTGCAGTCCCACCACAGTGTGCTGGCAATGTGAGAGCGAGGCATGCTGGCCATGCCAGAGTGGGGTACAGCAGTGGTGCCAGAGTGGGGCACACCAGTGATGCCAGAGAAAAATACACCAGCAGTGATAGAGGGAGCACAGCAGCAGTGCCAGAGCAGGGCATACCCACCTGCCACTGCAGCCTTTGGCAGCAAGTCCCAGGACAGGTTGGGATGCTCCTGCTGGTGTGGGACTTTGTAATGAGAAGACGTGTCATTGCCCCTGCCTTGACCATCCCTGGGTGACTGCAAGAGTGCAGGGGTGTCCACTTGGGGCTTTTTTTGGCTCCCTAATCCCCAGCTCACTGTCAGTGTGCCTCGCGCCTCGAAGGCTCTGGCTGGCTCATAGACGCACACTGGGAGCTGTGGCAGGAGCTGACGGTTAGCAAGTGGTTGGATGATAAAACAGCAGATTAAACTCAACGTGCATAAATGCAAATGGGAGAGGAAGCGGGGAATAATCCTGACTTGGTAGATGTGTCAGCTCATGGCACCAGAGTGCTCAAAAACCTAGAGAATGTGGTACAGGGAATTTCCAGGAAAGGCAGTGAGAACAAGGGGGAAATCAACGTGTTGTGCCCAGGGGTGTGTATGCTTGTGGGGCCCCTCATTTTCCCTCCCAGTTTGGCTCCAGTCAGTATCACAGGGCGATGGCAAGAGCAAAGCTACAAGGGAAGGTCACTTGCCCTTTGGGTTAATTTCACATCATTCTTGGGAAGCTTGGGGTAGCAACCCCTCTGGGATCACTTCATCTCCAAATGGGCCAAGAGGACAGTCATGGAGCAGAACAAATTGAAATGAGGGAGGAACAAACCCTGGCAGCTGACAGCTGGAAGGCAGCTTGGTGGAAAAGGATTAGGGGATCCTGGTGGACACCAAGTTGACTATGAGCCAGCAGCGTGCCCTTGGGACAAAGGCGCTTCATGGTGTCCTGGGCTGCATTAGGCAAAGTGTTGCCAGTAGGTCTGAGGAGGGTGATCCTTCCCCTCTACCCGGCACTGGTGAGGCCACACCTGAAGTACTGGCTCCAGCTCTGGGCTCCTAAGTACAAGCTAGACATGGACATAAGGGAGAGAGTCCAGGGAAGGGCCATGGGATTGGAGCATCTTTTATATGAGGAGAGGATGAGAGAGCTGGGACTGTTCAACCCAGAGAAGAGAAGGCTCTGGGGGATCTTATCAATGTAGGTGAGTATCTGAAGGGAGGGTGCAACAAGGACAGTGCCAGGCTGACAAGAGATGACAGGGGCAAAAGAAACACAGGAAATGCTGTTTAAACAGAGGAAACAACCTTTTTTCCTGCAAGAGTAGTTAAGCACTTGACCAGGCTGCCTGAGGAGGCTGTGCCACCTCCATCCTGCAGCTATTCAAATCCTGCACCTCCCCAGGTCCCCTCCTGCAGTGGACTGACTCAACTAGGGTCCAGGCCAGGCCCAAAGAAACTCTGGGCACATGCATGGGTGGGCAGTGGGCTATGCCCAGGCAGGGCAGGGGGGAGGCAGGTCCCCCAAGGCCATGGGTGTAGGCTGTCAACACAGGGAGCTGCTGCCCTGTCAGCTCCCACCTTCCCCGGGGTGCACTGCACGCTGGCCCCCTCCCCACTGGATGCTGCCTGCTCTTGCCTGTCCCCAGGGCCAGCGCTCAAACAGGATTGTTTCAATGGGAAGTTCAATGCGATTTGACCTATTTTTTAAATTATTTTTTCTTTTCCTCGGGTCTATTTATGAAGCTTGAGCAATCCTTTATCTCTGACTTCCTCTCCAGATAAATCCGTCAATGCTCTTTCTCATAAACCTGCCCTCTGTGCTGACCACCCAGGGCATGCAGATAATAACAATTAACAACAGCACGAGCAGCTCTTAATGAGCTACTCTGCCATGGTGACAAACGTTCATGAGCCCTCAGCACCAGCAACACCCAGATTCACCCTGCCCTTGCACCAGAAGTGGTGCCATAGGCTATGGGTGCCAGCAGGTCTCTCTGGGGCTGCACGCCCTCCCTGGCTCATCCCCAGGTGGTGCAGTGCAGGGGAGGTGGACACAGAGGGTGACACCATCCTGAGGAGCTGCTGTCTCACCCAACAGGGTTTTGGGGGTTTTATGAGCCTCAGTCTGGTCCTGTGGCTGGAGAGCTTGGGGAAGCTCAGGCCACATCTCCCTAGGTCACCTGGTGGTCTGTGGCACCAAAATGGCTCTGGGGTGCAGGTGGAGGAAGGGAGCGGAGAGCAGATGTGGCTTTAGAACTACACTGCTTGTCTGCAAAAAGCACAAACGAACAGCACCACTGAGGCCTCCATCCACCACCATAGCCACAGATGTGGAGTACGTGAGGCCATGTGTGAGGGTCGCCGGCCACCCAGCTTGCCTGAGCACAGCGTCAACTTGGTGGGCATGCAGCCACCTCCATGGCAAGCCTAGTTCTGCCAATGGGTACAACAAAGATGCCCCAAACCATCTTGTTGCGAGCCCTGAGACCAAGCACAGAGGCAGAGCCAGGAGCAGTGAAGACAGAGGCCAAGAGAGCTCCATGGCAGGAGCCATGCATGCAGCACTCAGTGCTCCTGAGCCATCCCCAGGGGAGGTTCCCGTGTGGGAGCAGGACCCAGGATCTGGCAGAACACCCCAGTCCAGGGGCTGACCCACTTTTGGGAGGCCCAAGCCCCACACCTGGCAAGCCCAACAGGAGAGACGCTGCAAGTCCCTGCAAGGGGACAGGGAGCGAAGTGAGGAGACGAGCGCAGCCTGCAGAAGAGAGGACAGATGATGGAGTGATGGATGAAGTGATGTTGCCCTGAGCTGGAGTGAACCCCTGGAAGGGACGCAGAAGGTGGCAGCCACTGGACGAGCAGGGTGATGAGGTTTGGAGCAGAGGTGCAGCATTGCAGGAGACACACAGCACATCACAGCTGCAGGCGGGCTGGCATCCCAGCCGGCCACCCCACCTCCATGCCCAGTGAGAGAGTAATCCTCACCTCCTGAGGTGGGGACATTTCCCACGGCTTATGGTGTGTCTGCTCAGGGCAAGAGGTGCCCATCTATGCAACTGAGCAGAATGGACACCGTGGGACACCTGCGCAGTGGGGCTGGGACTCTTAGGGATGCTCAGGAAGGCGTAGGGTGTAGCAAGGTGTCTTTGCAAAACTGGAGTTGCAGCGTGGAGTAATGGAGCTTGGGCAAAGAATTGAGTGGTGGAAGTGAGCCTCCCTAGAGTTCAGTCTAGGAACAGGGCTCCAGGTCTCCCTCCCTGCTGAGCTGGATCCCCTCTCATCCCCCAAAGAGCCAGGGCAGCACACCATGCCGCCTGCAAACACTTTTTGTAGGTCTTCGCCACCACATGCTACCATTGGCATTGACTGATTGACTGCAGGCATGGCCATGGACTTAAGCATTGTCAGAGAAATACCCAGTGCAGTTGGATGTACACTGGGGCCAAGTTTGGGGAACCCCAAATAGCATGGGGAGACCTAAAGAGTGAAAAGCCAGCACTGCACACTCACCTACTGCAGCTGTCAGGGCACCTGCTCCTGATGGCTGTTTTGCCCCTCTCCAGAATCCTCACTACTCCCCAGGGGCCTACTCTTTGCCCAACTCTTGCCGTAGGGATGTCCGCCCCAGCTATAATCTTGCAATCCCCTCCCAGGAGGTTTTTGGGAGAGGTCTGGGGCACGTGCCTGCTCTCGTGCAATGGGCACAAACAAATCCTTGTAGCCCCCAAGGACCCAACGTCCCCGGAGATCCGGGGACTGAAGAAAAACAGAGGCAGGTGTTCTTGACTCAACACAGGGTTTGGCCAGGCTAAGCGAGTGCTGGGGATGGATGCCAAACGTGAGCTGAGCAGGAAGGAGAGGGGAGTGCAGGAGCTGCCATAAGGCCCTGCAGGAGGAAGGCGGATGAGGAGGGGAGGACAAATCAGGTAGCTGCAGTCACTAGAGCACCCACTTCCCTGGGTAGACCAGTACCCAAATCTGTGAGGAGATGTTGGAGGTGGCCAAGGCGTGAGGGTCTCAGGACAAGCTGGATACAGACTCAGGTGTCTCCATGAGGGAGGAGCTAGTGGACTTCCTGCACCTGGTCACTCTTCCTGGATTTGGACCAGGACCAGAACCATGACAAACAACATCTGGAGGTGCAGAAGTAGTTGACCTTTCCCCCCAAGAGAGAAACCTTGGGGTGGGAGCCAGCAGCGGTGGGAGCCACCCAGGGCAGCACACAGTGCTCCCCAGGAACGGAAAAAACCCTGGTGGGAGGGAGGGAGGGATAGGAATGGAAACCAAGACGACCGTGCAACAGGGAGCTGGCCCAAGGCCATGATGCGGTGCCCAAGGAGCAAATGAGAAGCTCCTACCTGAGGCGCCGGGAGAGAGGCGTGGTGGTACTGCCCACCCCTTGGGCCATGCGTGGGTACAGGGACAAGGCAGGTAGAAATAGCCCTGCTCTCTCAGAGACACCAAGACAAAATGTATTGTGCCAGATCCCCAGGCTCACAATGGAATGGAGGTGACAGTGTCCCCTTTTTTGGATGCCTATGCCATGTACCCAGCCTCTGGCACTGTCTCCATCAGCCCAGCACCAGGGAGGTCATGTCAGCCTGGTGCCTTGCCTGGTTCCTGGGGCTCTGCACCTGATGCACCACTCCTGCCCTGCCAGGGCTTGCCAGTCACCAACCCTGTGGAACCGAAGGCGCTTATGGCTTACACAGAAGGACACAGGTCATGGAAGATGGCAAGACCTCTCCTGACTCCGGTGATGAAGGTGCCCTTCTGATTTTGTCCCACAAAGGTGCACGAGAAAAACTCGCCTTCATGGAAGATGGCAAGACCTCTCCTGACTCTGGTGATGAATGTGCCCTTCTGATTTTGTCCCACAAAGGTGCGTGAGGAAAACTCGCCTTCTCCCAATCTATATGCTAGTGCCCAAAAGATCTGCAGCTTCAGGGAAAACAGGCACCTATCGGGAAAATTCAGGCTTGTATGAGCAAGAAGGAGATTCTGTGCTCTGACAGCACAGAATTGAGGCTACACACAGAAAAACAGCCCACAGTGAGTGGCAGCAGTTGCACCAGTGTGTCTGGTGATGGGAGAAGGCAAGACCCCATGGCAGGGCATGAGGACCCAGGTCTGGGTGTCCCAGGGTCTGACCCCTCCCTAAGCACAGTATCTCATTCCCGGGAGGTGGGGGGGGAACGACCAAAAAAAGACGCGGAGGCAGGCGAGTGGAAGGGGAGTCAGGAGGCTGGCGGAGGCCGTATTGATCCTGTCAAGGTGCCAGCGCTTCCTCAGGCAACGCGGGGGGAGGTGCGGGCACGCAGCAGCACACAGCCAGGCTCCCTGCCAAGGAGGGGGCACAGCACGGATCCCCCCAAAACTGCCTCGCATGTCTCAGGAGGGTCCTGTGACCCTCCTCCAAGCAAGGGTGGCCAGCCTCTGCTCCCCTGGGTGGGCGGAAGAATTAGGGTGGATCTGGGGATAGAGTGCAGTGGGTTCGGATGTGGGGCGCAGCACCCAGTGGCTGCCCAAGTCCTAAACAGGCAGGGAAAAAAGGGTGCTCCAGGGGAAGGAGAGAGAGTGTCCATGCTGGGGGTTGCGATCAGGGCGGCTCCCTAATGATCCCAGTGATCATCATTTCCTCCAGCCCTGTTTTTTCTTTTTTTAAAAGCTAAAATCCCTAAACAAAATGGCATGAAAAGGGGTTTCTCTCCAGACTCTATGTCCTCACTGGGAAGGTGCAAAGTATAGCCCCAAAACGGGGAGAGAAGCGTGTATCAAGTAGGAAGAGAGGAAGATGTACCGACAGCCACAGCAGCAGGACAGGAGTTGGGAGAGACACAGGGGGTCCCCAATGCCAAAATGTGCCTGACACCTTGACCTTCCCCCTGCCAGTCCTGTGCTCAGCCCCAGGAGTGGGCTGAAAAACCAGGGGCTGGAGCCACAGGATATGGGGTCCAGGAAGAGACTGCCCAACTTTCTGCTGGAGAGTGAGCTCCAAGGAGTGTGGACTCCCCCCCACAAGGGTGATGTCCCACTCTGGTGCACAGAAGCAGACAGCAGGGCACACCCATGCATACACACACCAGCTGGTGCAGCAGCCACAGAGGAGCTATCTTTGCCACCTCCTCTCCCCCTGCACTGCCAGCGAGGCTGAGACCAAGGGGACTGCAGTCCAGAGTCATCCCAAACATAGTCAGACCACAGTCTCACCTTCCATGGACATTGGAAACCACAGATTTGCTTTGGGGGGGAAAGCCGCATCCTGTAGTTCTCATGTCACCCACCCCACTGGCTGGTGGGTTGGCACTCCTGAGTCAGGGACATGCCTCCACAAGAGATGGAGCAGATCATTTTGGGAGGGGATGGGTGTACGACCACCCCTACTTGTGGAGGCTGTCCTGGCTAGCAGCCCCCCCTGCCAGGACAGGTTGGGGAGCTGCAGTCAACCCACCCCCTGGTGTCTCAGCATGCCAGGACAGGGGGTTTGGGGATCACCTCACTGTCTTGGCAGTCCTAAGGTGAAGCCAGGGCTCATCCTACGCAGCGGGCTGGGAACATGAGCTGGCACTCATGGGGAAACCGAGTGGGGCAGGTGGGGGTATCGGACCCCTTTACCTGGAGACGGTCATCTCTGTCTGGGGACCCTGTGCCTTCTCCAGGCCCAGCTTGGTGAAGATGCCCACCAGCACCATGATGGCCACCACGCCACAGATGATGTAGACGATCATGTTGGTCTTGTCACGAGTGGGGTCCTCGGGGGTCTCGTCCACCCGGGCAGGTGGCTGGCCCGTGTTGACCCAGTTGGGGGTGTCGTAGTTGGAGCAGCCACTCTGGTCCAGCCGCCTGGGCTTGAACTGACAGCAGAAGCGGTACCCGCAGGTCCCGCAGCAGTACTGGTAGATGCCGGCGTTGCAGTTGAACGGCGGGTCCCACTGCCCCATCACGTCGTAGTACCCACGGCAGCGG